TGTTCACCTAGTGTAGTCTGTCAATGTTCACCTAGTAGTCTGTCAATGTTCACCTTGTAGTCTGTCATGTTCACCTAGTGTAGTCTGTCAATGTTCACCTAGTGTAGTCTGTCAATGTTCACCTAGTGTAGTCTGTCAATGTTCACCTAGTGTAGTCAATGTGTACCTAGTGTAGTCTGTTCACCTAGTGTAGTCTGTCAATGTTCACCTAGTGTAGTCTGTCAATGTTCACCTAGTGTAGTCTGTCAATGTTCACCTAGTGTAGTCTGTCAATGTGTTCACCTAGTGTAGTCTGTCAATGTTCACCTAGTGTAGTCTGTCAATGTTCACCTAGTGTAGTCTGTCAATGTTCACCTAGTGTAGTCTGTCAATGTTCACCTAGTGTAGTCTGTCAATGTTCACCTAGTGTAGTCTGTCAATGTTTACCTAGTGTAGTCTGTCAATGTTCACCTAGTGTAGTCTGTCAATGTTCACCTAGTGTAGTCTGTCAATGTTCACCTAGTGTAGTCTGTCAATGTTCACCTCGTGTAGTCTGTCAATGTTCACCTACCTCTGTGTAGTCTAGTCAATGTTCACCTAGTGTAGTCTGTCAATGTTCACACCTAGTGTAGTCTGTCAATGTTCACCTAGTGTAGTCTGTCAATGTAGTCACCTAGTGTAGTCTGTCAATGTTCACCTAGTGTAGTCTGTCAATGTTCACCTAGTGTAGTCTGTCAATGTTCACCTAGTGTAGTCTGTCAATGTCAATGTTCACCTAGTGTAGTCTGTCAATGTTCACCTAGTGTAGTCTGTCAATGTTCACCTAGTGTAGTCTGTCAATGTTCACCTAGTGTAGTCTGTCAATGTTTGTTCACCTAGTGTAGTCTGTCAATGTTCACCTAGTGTAGTCTGTCAATGTTCACCTAGTGTAGTCTGTCAATGTTCACCTAGTGTAGTGTAGTCAATGTTCACCAGTGTAGTCTGTCAATGTTCACCTAGTGTAGTCTGTCAATGTTCACCTAGTGTAGTCTGTCAATGTTCACCTAGTGTAGTCTGTCAATGTTCACCTAGTGTAGTCTGTCAATGTTCACCTAAGTGTAGTCTGTCAATGTTCACCTAGTGTAGTCTGTCAATGTTCACCTCAATGTGTGTAGTCTGTCAATGTTCACCTAGTGTAGTCTGTCAATGTTCACCTAGTGTAGTCTGTCAATGTTCACCTAGTGTAGTCTGTCAATGTTCACCTAGTGTAGTCTGTCAATGTTCACCTAGTGTAGTCTGTCAATGTTCACCTAGTGTAGTCTGTCAATGTCACCTATGTCTGTCAATGTTCACCTAGTGTAGTCTGTGTCAATGTTCACCTAGTGTAGTCTGTCAATGTTCACCTAGTGTAGTCTGTCAATGTTCACCTAGTGTAGTCTGTCAATGTTCACCTAGTGTAGTCTGTCAATGTTCACCTAGTGTAGTCTGTCAATGTTCACCTAGTGTAGTCTGTCAATGTTCACCTAGTGTCAATGTACCTAGTGTCTGTCAATGTTCACCTAGTGTAGTCTGTCAATGTTCTGTGTAGTCTGTCAATGTTCACCTAGTGTAGTCTGTCAATGTTCACCTAGTGTAGTCTGTCAATGTTCACCTAGTGTAGTCTGTCAATGTTCACCTAGTGTAGTCTGTCAATGTTCACCTAGTCTGTGTAATGTTCACCTAGTGTAGTCTGTCAATGTTCACCTAGTGTAGTCTGTCAATGTTTCACCTAGTGTAGTCTGTCAATGTTTCACCTAGTGTAGTCTGTCAATGTTCACCTAGTGTAGTCTGTCAATGTTCACCTAGTGTAGTCTGTCAATGTCAATGTTCAGTCTGTATGTTTAGTCTGTCAATGTTTCACCTAGTGTAGTAGTGTAGTCCCTGTCAAAGTTCACCTAGTGTAGTCTGTCAATGTTCACCTAGTGTGTAGTCTGTCAATGTTCACCTAGTGTAGTCTGTCAATGTTCACCACCTAGTGTAGTCTGTCAATGTTCACCTAGTGTAGTCTGTCAATGTTCACCTAGTGTAGTCTGTCAATGTTCACCTCACCTAGTAGTCTGTCAATGTTCACCTAGTGTAGTCTGTCAATGTTCACCTAGTTTAGTCTGTCAATGTTCACCTAGTGTAGTCTGTCAATGTTCACCTAGTGTAGTCTGTCAATGTTCACCTAGTCTGTATGTCTGTCTGTCAATGTTCACCTAGTGTAGTCTGTCAATGTTCACCTAGTGTAGTCTGTCAATGTTCACCTAGTGTAGTCTGTCAATGTTCACCTAGTGTAGTCTGTCAATGTTCACCTAGTGTAGTCTGTCAATGTTCACCTAGTGTAGTCTGTCAATGTTCACCTAGTGTAGTCTGTCAATGTTCACCTAGTGTAGTCTGTCAATGTTCACCTAGTGTAGTCTGTCAATGTTCACCTAGTGTAGTCTGTAATGTTCACCTGTCAATGTTCACCTAGTGTAGTCTGTCAATGTTCACCTAGTGTAGTCTGTCAATGTTCACCTAGTGTATGTCTGTGTAGTCTGTCAATGTTCACCTAGTGTAGTCTGTCAATGTTCACCTAGTGTAGTCTGTCAATGTTCACCTAGTTTAGTCTGTCAATGTTCACCTAGTGTAGTCTGTCAATGTTCACCTAGTTTAGTCTGTCAATGTCACCTATGTAGTCTGTCACCTAGTGTAGTCTGTCAATGTTCACCTAGTGTAGTCTGTCAATGTTCACCTAGTGTCAATGTTCACTAGTCTGTCAATGTTCACCTAGTGTAGTCTGTCAATGTTCACCTAGTGTAGTCTGTCAATGTTCACCTAGTGTAGTCTGTCAATGTTCACCTAGTGTAGTCTGTCAATGTTCACCTAGTGTAGTCTGTCAATGTTCACCTAGTGTAGTCTGTCAATGTTCACCTAGTGTAGTCTGTCAATGTTCACCTAGTGTAGTCTGTCAATGTTCACCTAGTGTAGTCTGTCAATGTTCACCTAGTGTAGTCTGTCAATGTTTACCTAGTGTAGTCCTAGTTCACCTAGTGTGGTCTGTCAATGTTCACCTAGTGTAATCTGTCAATGTTCACCTAGTGTAGTCTGTCAATGTTCACCTAGTGTAGTCTGTCAATGTTCACCTAGTGTAGTCTGTCAATGTTCACCTAGTGTAGTCTGTCAATGTTCAATGTAGTCTGTCAATGTTACCTAGTGTAGTGTCAATGTTCACCTAGTGTAGTCTGTCAATGTTCACCTAGTGTAGTCTGTCAATGTTCTAGTGTACTGTAGTGTTCACCTAGTCTCTGTCAATGTTCACCTAGTGTAGTCTGTCAATGTTCACCTAGTGTAGTCTGTCAATGTTCACCTAGTGTAGTCTGTCAATGTTCACCTAGTGTAGTCTGTCAATGTTCACCTAGTGTAGTCTGTCAATGTTCACCTAGTGTAGTCTGTCAATGTTCACCTAGTGTAGTCTGTCAATGTTCACCTAGTGTAGTCTGTCAATGTCACCTAGTGTAGTCTGTCAATGTTCACCTAGTGTAGTCTGTCAATGTTCACCTAGTGTAGTCTGTCAATGTTTACCTAGTGTAGTCTGTCAATGTTCACCTCGTGTGGTCTGTCAATGTTTACCTAGTGTAGTCTGTCAATGTTCACCTAGTGTAGTCTGTCACCCAGTGTAGTCTGTCAATGTTCACCTAGTGTAGTCTGTCAATGTTCACCCAGTGTAGTCTGTCAATGTTTACCTAGTGTAGTCTGTCAATGTTCACCCAGTGTAGTCTGTCAATGTTTACCTAGTGTAGTCTGTCAATGATCACCTAGTGTAGTCTGTCAATGTTTACCTAGTGTGGTCTGTCAATGTTCACCTAGTGAGGTCTATCAATGTTCACCTAGTGTAGTCTGTCAGGGGTAATAACTGCGATGATGGTATCAACGAACACAACACACACTCACCATCTCTGTTGTTATCCACAGGCAGATGTCATGGGACCAACACCTGCAGACTTGAGACAGTGTCTATAACTTCTGTAGACATGATGTGTGCCCACAGGATGACACATGTCGACAGGATGGACTTACACAAAAGCTGACGTTGATTCCTAAATTAGGAGTGGACTGTAGCAAAGCCGATCAACAAATGATGAACTCACATTCTACTCAGGTCATCCATCTGTAGGTGGCTGATTTACAGAAATGCTGGATGACTTCTTCAAAAGCTGATATTTTACAGATAAATGCATTTGTTTGTTGTTGTTGAAAATCATGGATTGGCTGATATTTGGGAAATCATTACGACATTTACTTGTAATAACACTTTAAATGGATGAAAAAAGGGGCTAGTAGAAACGTTTTTAGAAACAATGGAAAGGGCCCTTTTCCACACCCTTAGGCATATTGGGTTTATAACACTTGACCTTTGTAGTATAGAACAATTGGCATTCGCTGGATGACATGGTCAGCATCCCACCGGGCGCCTTTACTTCCCATAAATCTACCTGGTACCCGTCTAAGGTCAGCATCACACCTGGCGCCTTTACTTCCCAGATATCTACATGGTACCCATCTAAGGTCAACATCACACCGGGCGCCTTTACTTCCCAAAAATATAGCTGGTACCCGTCTAAGGTCAGCATCACACCGGGCGCCTTTACTTCCCAGAAATCTACATGGTAACCATCTAAGTCTGGGTCAACGGAGGAGCCGAAGTCATTTTTGCAAAAAGTCTGGCTCTATCAGGACTTGAACCCACAACCTTCGGATGTTCAGGTGAAGGTCTAGTCGCTAGACCATAGACACTGCCCAGCATATATCACTAATACATGATGATAGTTTTCCCTGTGTGGGTCCCTGGGTCCCTGTGTGGGTCCCTGGGTCCCTGTGTGGGTCCCTGGGTCCCTGTGTGGGTCCCTGTGTGGGTCCCTGGGTCCCTGTGTGGGTCCCTGTGTGGGTCCCTGGGTCCCTGTGTGGGTCCCTGTGTGGGTCCCTGTGTGGGTCCCTGGGTCCCTGTGTGGGTCCCTGTGTGGGTCCCTGGGTCCCTGTGTGGGTCCCTGTGTGGGTCCCTGTGTGGGTCCCTGGGTCCCTGTGTGGGTCCCTGTGTGGGTCCCTGTGTGGGTCCCTGTGTGGGTCCCTGTGTGGGTCCCTGTGTGGGTCCCTGGGTCCCTGTGTGGGTCCCTGGGTCCCTGTGTGGGTCCCTGTGTGGGTCCCTGGGTCCCTGTGTGGGTCCCTGGGTCCCTGTGTGGGTCCCTGGGTCCCTGTGTGGGTCCCTGTGTGGGTCCCTGGGTCCCTGTGTGGGTCCCTGTGTGGGTCCCTGGGTCCCTGTGTGGGTCCCTGTGTGGGTCCCTGGGTCCCTGTGTGGGTCCCTGTGTGGGTCCCTGGGTCCCTGTGTGGGTCCCTGTGTGGGTCCCTGTGTGGGTCCCTGTGTGGGTCCCTGTGTGGGTCCCTGTGTGGGTCCCTGTGTGGGTCCCTGGGTCCCTGTGTGGGTCCCTGTTTGGTCCCTGTGTGGGTCCCTGTGTGGGTCCCTGGGTCCCTGTGTGGGTCCCTGTTTGGTCCCTGGGTGGGTCCCTGTTTGGTCCCTGTGTGGGTCCCTGTGTGGGTCCCTGGGTCCCTGTGTGGGTCCCTGTGTGGGTCCCTGTTTGGTCCCTGGGTGGGTCCCTGTGTGGGTCCCTGGGTCCCTGTGTGGGTCCCTGTTTGGTCCCTGGGTGGGTCCCTGTTTGGTCCCTGTGTGGGTCCCTGTGTGGGTCCCTGGGTCCCTGTGTGGGTCCCTGTTTGGTCCCTGGGTGGGTCCCTGTTTGGTCCCTGTGTGGGTCCCTGTGTGGGTCCCTGGGTCCCTGTGTGGGTCCCTGTTTGGTCCCTGGGTGTGGGGGTGGGGAACAGATCCCATGGATGTTGTAAAAGAAAACCATCTAAGGTTTTGCTGAAGTCAGATGTGTGTTCAGAATTCGCAGATATCGCAGCCAAGCTGTAAACCACAACACAATGCGAAAAACGCAATTTTAAAAGCAATGCTTCAGAAGAAGGAGAAAAAGGATAACTATTGTTCTTTATTTTATTTTATTTTTTTCTATAGCTACATATATATACCTTAAAGTCATAGTTGAGAGGACTGGCTTTGTTGCACTACGTTTTATCCCCCGTGACTCAGTCTCTCTCCACAGAACGACTAGTCACCCGGTGGGAGGGTTACACAGAGCACGAACTTCGTAGATGTAGCGACGACCCATGGGAATCTCCATCAAAACTCCACTCATGAAGTGAACGACCCCTCCAGGAAACAAACCCAAGACCAGCAGAGCGAGGGACAGACGGCTCAACAACTGAACCAGTGGCTGAATAAAACAAACGTATAAATGATACCACTATCCACAAGACTGCCTCAAGTCTGCCGAGGACTGCCAAGTCTGTCCACGATCGTAACTGACTGCCCCTTCAAAGTTGTGTTTGCCATGGCCCTGCCAGATGTCACCAAGAATGCCGCCACATATGTTGGCACAAGGGTCCTGCCAGATGTCACCAAGAATGCCGCCACACATGTTGGCACAAGGGTCCTGCCAGAAGTCACCAAGAATACTGCCACACATGTTGGCACAAGGGTCCTGCCAGAAGTCACCAAGAATGCTGCCACACATGTTGGCACAAGGGCCCTGCCAGATGTCACCAAGAATGCTGCCATACATGTTGGCACAAGGGTCCTGCCAGAAGTCACCAAGAGTGCTGCCACACATGTTGGCACAAGGGTCCTGCCAGATGTCACAAAGAATGCCGCCACATATGTTGGCACAAGGGCTCTGCCAGATGTCACCAAGAATGCCGCAACACATGTTGGCACAGGGGCCCCGGCTCAGGTGGGGTTACACTGGTCGGCTCTGCCTGGCCGCCAACGTTAGGTCAACAAGTGTGTGCGTTTGTGTGTGTGTGTGTATGTGGCAACGTGTTAGTGTGTTCATGTGTGTGAGTGTGAATGCCAGTGTGAGTTTAAGTGTGTTATTTGTGTATGAACAAATACAGACGCACTGCTTTTTTGACAAGCATGTCTTAAAAGAGTCTAATTACTTCGTTCTCAAATGATGTATTCGGTCAAACAACGCAGATATCGTTGCCTAGATGTAAAACAAGTACCAAACGCTCTTTAGCGCAAATGCAGAATGAGCTATCAGGAAGCGAAAAAGAGAAACACAGTTAAATGAAATATAGAAATCACATTCAATATCTGTTTGTTTTCCACATCACAAAACTAGCGTGCTTCACACAAAAATACATTAGCAATCAACAACTTGGTGCTTATCACCCTGGTTAACAAAGATGACAGGTGCAAATAGCGCAAATGCAGAATGAGCTATCAGGAAGCAAAAAAGAGAAACACAGTTAAATGAAATATAGAAATCACATTCAATATCTGTTTGTTTTCCACATCACAAAACTAGCATGCTTCACACATAAAAATACATTAGCAATCAACAACTTGGTGCTAATCACCCTGGTTAACAAAGATGATAGGTCGCTGAAGCGAACTGCAATTACAAATCTTCAAACGACGACGCGCGATGAAATCTAGATCTCATACAATCTAGCTACTGAACGTACCGGTACACAACGAAACTAGTGAGCCAATTCATATCTCTCGGCTCAAACCTTACCTGCGTTGCCCTGAGAACCTTGTACAGTTCCGCAACGATATTAGGACAACTGTCCTTAATGAGA